TTTGTACATAAGAGGCAGAAATCATGGAAAAAGGAATCAACAGGAAAATAATACCGCTTACATAAACCCCTCATTCATAGCGTGATGTGTCCACACAGGACAACTTCAACATGGCAGGGACTTCACAGAAGAAGTGATCAATGGCCTTAGAATGACACAACGGGAAGTGGAGGGCATAAGCTGTGTGCACAATGGAGTTGAGGGTCCCCAGCAGCCAGGACCCCGCAGCCATCAGCACACTGACACTGTCACTCATGAGCATGGCATAGCGCAGGGGGTGGCAGATGGACACATAGCGGTCATAGGACATGGCGACCAGGAGCAGGCACTCACTACCTAGCAAGGTGAGTGACAAGAAGATCTGGAATCCACAGCCTGCAAAGGTGATGGTTCTGCTGCCAGACAGGAAGTTGGTGATCATTTTGGGGACAATGTTGGAAATGTGCAGGATGTCCATGAAGGAGAGATGGCTGAGCAGGAAGTACATGGGGGAGTAGAGTCGAGAGTCCCTGTGGATGAGGAAGATCAGGATGGTGTTTTCTGTGATGGCCAGGATAAAAATGATGAACAGAGAGGAGAAGACCAGGCTTGCTTGTGAGGAAGAGAACAGTCCCAAAAGAATAAAGTCACTGCTGAATATCTCATTTGCATGACTCATTTTGAATCCTCAATATTTTCCTTAAAAAGGAATAAAAACTACTAATTTATTAGATATCAATGAGTGCATTGTTTGCTTAATTAAATTGAAATTAGTTAGGTACTTAAATAGCAATCACCTGTATGTCTGTCTGCATAATAAATGAAAGTTGGTGTTGTGTGATTTGTCATTACCAGGGGCTTCTCAATGGCATTCACATGGAGGTGCTGTAAGAGGGACCATTATGTGTGTGAACCAGGTTATTAGCACACTGATTGGCTTCCTGAGTCCATGCTGAGCCCTCCATGTAGTTATTTCCGCTGCTCTGGCCAAGGCTTCCTCACTCAAGTAGCCCCTTCATTATGCAAGCAAAAAGTGCCATCTATTAGTTACATTTTGATTGAAATTTCATTAGGAATTATGTTACTGGACATTCACACACAAAACATTTAATTTTCAGATCTATATTATTTCTTAATTTTACTATTTTGACTTCAACATATAAAAAAATTTTTAAAAAGCACTGTTAATTCTTCTCCAAAAAAATATTGTGACATGTCTCTTCTATTGAAAACCTATGAAATATGAATTTGGATATGCTCCAGTATATTTTGCACTATGGGAAAGTGACTATTTAGTTTTTAAAAAATTCTATAAACTGTTAATTTTGACAACAGTATTGTCAAATTCTATGAAAAAAATTCAAATAGGATATTTCTTGATTTGATGACCAGCAGGTTAAAACTGGCTATCTTTATTCCTAATTCTGTTATTTACATAGAAAATACTTGTAAGAAGCCTATATTGAGCCCTGAGCTGATCTAAATACAGATTTAACAGACTTATGCACTAAATGAGTTGGACTGAGCAAGGTATAGTGAACACGTGACACTCTGCTTCACATAAGAATGAGTTTCCTGTTTTCTCAGGTAATTAAATATTTGACAAAATGATGTATTCTGGAATGAGCTAAGTTTGAATCTTTTTTACACCACATCAGACATATGCGAAACTGTTTCAGATATAAATGTCTATGAAAACCAAATGCCTCATAACATTTTGCAAACAGACATTTAATTGCACCACACTCACCCACTAATCACCCACACACACAGACACAAACACAAACATGAGACCGGGCCCTGGCGTGTACTCAGATGATGACTCAAATTTCTCATATTATTATCACATGATTATGTGTATCCTTACAGTGTTGTTGTGGTTAATTTTACTTTTGTAATCTTGGGACAGACATTTTCACTATTCTTGCTAACTACAAAAGAGAGCGAGATTGAGAATAAGGTAGAATATAACTGACAAAACGCAACAGAGTAAGCTTAAGGGTGTCAGAATCATTTAATCCACACCACAGCAGTAGAATTGCTCTCTGCAGCTCTCTGAGAGGGGAGGACGTGATGAATCCAGGAAGACTGCTGAGGGAGGGTTCCTCACCCCATCCACACACAGCCCTGTGACGGTACAGCTTTGCTGCTCCTACTAAAGGTGGTTACCACTCTGCCCTCGCTTCCACTGTCACAGGCCACTTATTATCTCAATGAACTCTTCTGTTCTTGTGGCCCTCCAGAGCACCCCACATAACCCATGAAATCATGGATAGTGCGTCGTCCCTGAGCAGCACTAAGGCATTCAGCCTAGATCCCTGAAAAGTCCTTTTTGTCCTCCCAAGTCACTCACTGAGTCAAGGTACCCTCTAAGTGGACAGGAACAGGAAGCCCAGGGTTTGCTCAAGCATTTCCTAAATTCTACCAGGAATGGCGAACCAGCAAGATCGCACCACCTGTGGGAGCTCTGGTTCCTGCTGACCCACTGTCCCTTGGACTGTAGGGCACAGGAGGGGACACACAACATAATGACGCCTGTGATGGATGCTTTCAGCACAGCCACCTTCTCTGTGGTGCACGGTGTGGAACAGGGCACTGCGGGTGTTGCAGTCCAGCCAGGCTCCTCCAGGTACTTCCTGCCTCTTGCGGCAGTTTCCCACCCACGCTCAGCCTCTAGGGACTAGGAGTCCAGCCAGCTTTCAGTGCACGTCCTGAGCACCCTCAGATCACTTTCTTGTGCAGCAGCTGCCCTCAGCCCCACTGATTCCTGCTAGGAGGGCTCAATCCCAGTGTTTCCTGCAGCCCTCACTAAATTCCCCACTTGAGGACACCAGGAATTCTCTTCTGTCTCTATGTAACCTTCCCTGGACAGGAGGACCATGGGCCACCACCCCAGTGAGCAGGAGCCTTGAAATCAGCATCTCAGGCTGACATCACCACTTCCTGCCCAACTGTGCATCTGCAGTCCCTTTGCTGACCCCTTGAGTCTCAGCCCCTAGAGCGGCTCAGAGCAGAAAGAAAAGGCAGCCTTGCTCTCTCTGTACTCCATTCATACACACAACACAACCCACGTGTTCCTCCCCATAAACGCCCCTCACCAGTTTCTCCCCTCTTTTGATGGGTTCGGAGTGGTCCTGAAGGCTGGAAATGCACCTCCCCTTCTCTGTCAGTCACTGTGCAAAGCAGCCTCAGCCCCTCATGTAAACCTCAGGGTTCTCAGCACTCTGAAGGTGCAGGGCTGGGGCAAGCCACTGAACTGTGTCCAGCTGTGACACAGGGTGCCAGGAACCTCAGACACAGACCTTCCTCCTCCCATCGCCTTGATTTTCAGCACATGGTCATGATGATGCATTTTCCTGCAGCACTCTGAGCGGATATCAGGAGGAACATCCCCCAGAGATCAGAGACAGAGGGCAGCAGTCACAAGGGCATTCCCTGCTGACCATGCAGCCCTGGAGCCCTTTGAGGCCATCAGAATCGGCCCTCACCACCAAAGCATGACTTACAAATGACCTCTTATTTTACTGAGGAAATTAAATTTTATAATCTATATTTGACATTCCTAACTTGATTCCAAAGCATATGAGTTCCTAGGAAAACAGCTAGCTGAACAGATGAACACCACACATAATTATTTTTTGTGAATATAGCAAGTATAATGATTAAACCAAGATGATTCATACTATGCAAGTTTATTAACTTTAGCCCTTATGTTGTAACTTACATCTCTAAACATGAATATCCATTTCTTCGCCATAACAAAAATCTCTCTGATTATGGACTGATGGGCTACAAGTGAGGGGAGTGTTAAAGTATGTCCTTTGATGGGGGTGGGGGGGGGACAGCAATGCTTCCTGCAGTCCTGAGAAGGCTGGGAGAGGTGTCGTGTGATGATTAGTGAGATCAACTCTTCTTTCCTTATTTTCGCATAGAAGACTAAGATGGAGCGAAAGCAATACTGTACCCAATAGGAGAAAGGTTATAAATAGGGCTTATTAGCTTGTTATTTCCAGCACAGCCACTAAGAATAAGACAAACTTAATCTATTGTTAGGAGATAAGAGAAAATATAGAGTTTCTGAGAAAAGATGCCTCTGGCAGAAATATGAAACCTATAACACACCATGGATTATAACTACATGGAATCAGATTCTACACTCTACGTATGCAGTACTTTTGCAATAATATCTAGAAGATAGAAGGATGCTCTGAACTTTTCGTCCCAGACATAGTCTGGAGACTCTTTTCACAAGATGGGAAGGGAAGGAGTACAGAAGTGGTTACCTGGGCAATGATTACGCACACTGCACAGAAAGAAGACATTCAGGGTTCTAGAATCTATCAGTAGAAGACAGCCGCCCTGCCCACATATACAGAGGCAAGTCTGTCCCTAAAATCATATAAGAGTGTGAGATACTCAGATACACCTAACTGAAAGGCAAAGTGTCCAACCATAGATGAATCTGAAAATAAACGTTTATGTATATTTAAAGAAATATGAATTGGTCTTAAGAATAGACATTACTAGGTGTAAACTAGGCCTAGACTTACTCTTACCTCTGTAGGAAGTGCACACTTTGATCGCAGTGACATTAGCACACTGCACACTGTCAGTGATGTAAACAGCACGATTTACTGTAGTTATCTATGAAATGGTGCATAATGAGACCTGAGTGTGTATTCCACAAACACTGAAAGTGCAGGTACATGATGGTTTCCACTTTCACACTGAAAGTTTACATGGGTTCATCTTAAAATGTGACACCATAAAGTTCTTAAAAATTTAGCAGGACTGAGATAAAGTTTTGCATCAGGCCTTACACTAAGTACATTGTAATTACTATAAAGAAAGAGTAGGCTTTTCCAGGTTTGTGTTTCTAAACACTTCTCATTTAGTAAGTTAGCTATTGTCATCAAGGGCCTCAAAAACTGACTTATTTGAAAGCTAAAAAGATTTGACATTCCTACCAAACACAGAGTATCCTGAGGCTGTAAGATATGAAAAGAAAAGAGGAAATTAGGTTAGAGGCATCTTTTCCATTCATTGTTTAGCAGGAGATTGTTGATGAGCATGCTTTTCATGGCCTTCAGGGCCTTCTGGACATCTTTATTCCTGAAGCTGTAGATGACAGGGTTGAGGGTGGGCGTGAGGATAGTGTAGAAGATGGCTAGGAACTTATCCTGGCCAGGAGTGTGGTAAGATTTAGGTCTCATGTATGTGAAAATAAACGGCCCATAGTACATCACGACCACCACCATGTGGAAGGAACAGGTGGAGAAGGACTTCTTCCGGGCCTCTGATGATTTGCTTTGCAACACAGTGAGAAGAATTTGTACATAAGAGGCAGAAATCATGGAAAAGGGAATCAACAGGAAAATAATGCCGCTTACATAAACCCCTCGTTCATAGCGTGATGTGTCCACAAAGGACAACTTCAACATGGCAGGGACTTCACAGAAGAAGTGATCAATGGCCTTAGAGTGACACAACGGGAAGTGGAGGGCATAAGCTGTGTGCACAATGGAGTTGAGGGTCCCCAGCAGCCAGGACCCCGCAGCCATCAGCACACTGACACTGTCACTCATGAGTATGGCATAGCGCAGGGGGTGGCAGATGGCCACATAGCGGTCATAGGACATGGCAGCCAGGAGCAGGCACTCGCCACCTAGCAAGGTGAGTGACAGGAAGATCTGGAATCCACAGCCTGCAAAGGTGATGGTTCTGCTGCCAGACAGGAAGTTGGTGATCATTTTGGGGACAATGTTGGAAATGTGCAGGATGTCCATGAAGGAGAGATGGCTGAGCAGGAAGTACATGGGGGAGCGGAGTCGAGAGTCCCTGTGGATGAGGAAGATCAGGATGGTGTTTTCTGTGATGGCCAGGATAAAAATGATGAACAGAGAGGAGAAGAAGACCAGGCTTGCTTGTGAGGAAGAGAACAGTCCCAAAAGAATAAAGTCACTGCTCGATGTCTCATTTCTATGGTTCATCCTTAATTTCTGTGTTTTACCTAAAAATAGCTTGTAATGAAGAAAAATAGAGAAATGACAAGCTTGTTTACAAAGAGAGAATTATTGTTGTGTGTTACTTCCACCTCAAGTTCTATGAGATACGTTTATGATTGTATGATTTACACGACAGATGTTCACTCATTTCAGTAGCCTGGTGAGCCTTAAGTGTGCTGAATATGTCCTTTTCTCCAGGTTGGCTCTCTCAGTGCTGATCAGTTCTAAAACTTCACTCCAGTGGTGTCATTCCTCAGTGAGGTCTGTCATGGGCCCAGCCTGCCCATCTGCTAAGTGTTGGACGCTAACTCTCCTGGTCCTCCTTACTCTGCTCCATCACATATTCTGCCTGGCCCTTTTCACCTTGTTTCATATCAAATAATAAACACAGGTGGTGTATATTCTTCCCTGGCATTCTCTTCACATGATTTTTCACCTCATGTAGGATATCTTTGTTCTCTTCATTGTTAGAAACAAAATGCCTAGAGATCCACCTGGTTCATAAGATTTTTGACCACATCCATTGAATTAATGAACAGAAAACGTGGTCATGCTAACAGGAATTTTCTCCTGAGCCTGTGGCCAAGAGAGTGCTACTCCTCACTTGGTGCCCTGGTTCTACTATAAGAATTAAATTAAAAAAAATCTCTGTATTCTTTCATCTGTTGATGCACATATGCACACTGTATCCAAGACAAGGTAGTGGGCTGGAGCTTTAGCTCAGTGGCTTAACCTCATACCTGGCAGATGTTAGGTTGTGAGTTCAATACCTGGTACCAACAAAACAAAACAAAGCAAAACAAAACAAACACGACAAGCTAGTATAACTCATGCTGTTATAAACATGCATGTGCATCCACACCTGTATGGTGACTGTGAATCTTTCAGGAAAACAACTAGCGAGCAAATAACTGGGGCACGTGACGTTTCCATTTGGAGGGGTTTACAGAATCACCAAATTTATTTCCACAGTGGTTTTGCTATTTTCCATTCACACCAACAATGTAGGAGATTTTCTTTAAAAAAAAAATAAATTGGAAGCATTGAAAAATGAATCAATGCAAATTAAGAACACAGTGTTAAGTGAAATAATTCAGACAGGCAAACTTAAAAACCTATCTTGTCTATGCTATGAGAGAGAGAAAATGAAAAGTATAAGACATTAGTAAAAAGTAGTAAGAGGTTCAAATAAATCACTAAATTAACTATCTCATTGTTTCAAAAATATTGCAAATACACACTAACTTTTTTATTGTGTAAGGTTCTTTTATTTTATTTACAAGAAAGTATTATGATTTTTCCTGTTCTTTTTTGTAAGACAAAATCTTATTTTTCTGTTACATTCTGAAGATTATGATATAACATGTATTATCTATTCTTTATTCTCTTATTGTTTTTCCATCACATTTTGTTTTGTTTTTCCATAAAATAAAAATTTTTTTAAACGAATAAGAAAATATATATTGGGAACAAGGATAATAATTTCTAAATTAATTTTTCAAATCTAATATTTTGTCATTGAAATATAGGACTTCTAATATATTGAATAGTTACAAGTGACAAAATGCTACAATAAAATTTTTTATAGTTTTAGTATTTAAATTTTTTATAGTTTTATATGTAAGAAATCAAGCATATTTCATAAAAATAGCAATACATTTTAAAAGATATATTTTAATTTTGTTCACTTCATTTTATGAAACTTTTGCAATAATGTGTTACTCTTCCTTGGTGTTGGATCTGAGTTCTTCGTGTTACTCATGTTCTTCGCGTTACTTGGACAGTGATTCCTTCATTTTTACGTTTAATTGTTCTCCTCTATCTGTGTCTCTGATACCTGCTTTATGGTTACACACATGCACATCCTCACAGATAGATGATTAAATATAATGTAGATTCATTTAGAGTTCTGTCCTCAGTATCTGCTCTGATCATCAAAGTTAACAAACAAAGACTGGGGCTGGGGATTTAGCTCAGCGGCATAAGCGCCTGCCTTGTTAAGCAGGCAGTCGTGAGTTCGATTCCTGGTACTGATAAAAAACGAAAAAGACAAAAAAAAAAAAAAAAAAAAAAAAAACCAAAAAAACAAAGACTGGCCACTTTTTCACAATGACTCAAAAATTTGAACATAATGAATTGTAAGTTTCACTTTTTGTGAATTAAGTATGCAGATTGTGGCACTGAGATGTTCTCATGTCTCAGAGTTATTTATATTTACATTTGGAACATGTGACTCTTCACTGTGTACTGGTCACTCCCTGTCCCACCTTTGTCTTGAATGTCTGCAGTGGGTCACTGCGGTCTTCTGAGTCTGAAGAGTCAGCACCTGAGCGAGGGTGCAGACTCATGCACAAGCATCTAATGGGACCCACGGTTCTCGGAAGTTTGCTCATAGACACAGAGTGGGAGTCAAGGGGCCACGGTGCCTCGGAAACCTTGTTGAACACAGGTGACTTTGCAAGGTAGCAAACATGATGGCCAATTCTAGTGAGACAGTATTCTACTCAAACTCATTAACTTTCTCTAGCTCCCTGGAACCATACTGCCCTTCTGATTTTTCTTTTTCAATAAATTATCTACTTTATTATAGTTATTTCAGATCCATTTTGGACTGAATTCCCGATTTTCAGGAGAATCTCTGGCCCATAATAAGTTAAATTGAATGCTTATTACAAGAACAATTAATTTACTTCTAATGGGCTCAGGTATAACAGTAATTCAAATATTTACCAGTTCCTCCATTTCTGCCATTTAATTTGATTTTGTTTTTATACAGTTCATATTTTCTATATAACTATGAGTATATTTTCTCCTGATTGAAACCAATGGCTAATTTAATTCTTATTTTGCTACGTATCATCTACCATCATATACTTGCTTCCTTTGGGCATCTAAAAATTCTTCAGTCAGGTTTTGTAACACTCTGCATAGTCATTAAGAATCTTCATTAAACACCATGATGATAGAACCACTAAATTTTACCTTCTATGCCAGCCAGTGGTTTCTGGACGCTGGATGAAATTACACTGAAATTGAAAGCTGACTGCTCTCTCAGCTTGATTCTCACCAGTGAGGGAACCTGGGCCGTGTGTGGTGTGCACAGCTCATCCTCAAGGTCAGTGTGTTTCCATGTCTGATTTCAAATGTTAACAGCACTGATGTTGGAAATAGCTCTAACACACACTTTTCACCGCTGTCTTTCCTATGATATTGGAAGCTCTTGGCCCACGAGAGCCACCAGACTGAGAAGACTGTGACCTCCTCCTATCCCCACTGTGGCTTGCTCTTGTCCCCGATATCAGTGGGCTCCACAGCAGGGGAGTTACCTGGCCAATATGTGACCTTGCCCACTGTGCTCAAGGCTTCCATTCTGCCAGCTGTGGTGAACTTTGTTCACACCCACTGTATCAGATGACAGATGGCCCTGTGCTGTCAGTGGACTAGCAGGGCATCAGCCCTTAGAGGCCTGATGGAGCTGGGTCTTCAGTTCCTATAATTCGGGGTGGTTACCCATAATTTAGGTCATCGCGCATTTGGAAATACGTGTCACCTCAAAGATAAACAACTGTGAAACAGTATACCATCTGCTGTACTCTGGCTGCCTCGGCCTTGCCAGCACTGGCCATGTCAAAAGGTCTTCTAATCAGTGAAGCTGTTAAACTTCCTTCCGTGGTGAAAGACAAAGCTGAAGGTTACAAAACATGAAGGAAACAGGAAAGTTTTGTTATGAAGACACGTAAGGCCTGGAACGACATTCAAAAGGTCTCAGCAAATGCAAGTTAATAAGGACAAGAAGAGAAACCACATTCAGATCCATTACAGGGGACCTAGTGTCCTCCATGATGAAGACAGTGGCATCATCCAGGCCTTCAGAAACACCTACAACAGGACTCTGCTTACTGTAAGTGCATTGAATGTTTTGAAACTTCCTCCTGGGGGCCCATGGAACATTTCTGCATTTGGACTGAAAGTGTTTTCTGGAAGTGAGATGATTTGTCCAGCACTTGGCTTAAAGCCCAGGAGTCCCCCAAGTGTCATTCTAACCTGCCTATGCACAAGATCCATACAGACCTGGGCAAAATTGTGTAGAGTCAGAGATCCAGACAGCACTCTGAGCACCACACCAGAGATTCAGCTTGGAATTCTGAAGAGGAATCCACTGAAGCCCCTCAGGACCTGCTGAAGCTGAACCCACATGCAAAGACTCTCTGCTAGAAAACCATTCTTCTCAGGGCACGAGCAGCAAAATCCATTGTGACTAAATCAGAGGCTCGGGAAGCCAAATCAGAGAAGTGGGCTGCAGGCAAGAAGCCTGTGGAAGGGAAGAAAGGAAAGAAGGCTGTGGGTACCATGAGCCCTTGAGAAAAGCCTGCTGCTAGCAAGAAAGCAGCAGCTGAAGAAAAGAAGCCTGCTTAAATGAAGAAACCTGCTGTGCAAACTCTCAGACCCACTATGCCAAGCAGGTGACAGAAACGTAGGCAGCTGAGTTTAGTTCAAGTCTGTATGGACCTCATCAAAGAGAGAGGGAAAAGAAAGATTGCAGGATCATCAGACTACGTGCTTCTCTATAATTTTGATTAACTCTTTCAAGAATCCATTAAGTGCATGGTATTTAAGGAATCTATATAGTTTCTAAGGGTCTCTCAATGTTTTTATATTCAACTAAAATTTTGTCACTTGAAGACCCTTGGTTCACTCTAAAATTCTGTCAGTGTGCATTGCTCACCATGGAAATTGAATTTAAACTAATCACTTTGTTTTAGGGACACAGGCCCTGGTTGGGGAGAAGGAACAATACATTGTAGATGACAACTTACACTACTTTTAAATATAATTTCAGCTAATGACACACCAGTTCCTAGGCTGGATATCTATTATCACATCTATTAGATCATAGTCTGTGCTGACTACTTTAACCAAAATAATGATTTCATTCCAGATGTGTTGTGTCAACTCAGTATTTGACCTCTGCTTCTCTTGCTACA